GGAGAAATGTGGGGTTTGGGGAGGGTCGGGACCTCGGTGGGGTACAACTCCATAGAGTCCACCCTCCAAAGCAGCCATTTTCTCCTGGGGAACTGTTCTCTGTATTGTGGGTATCAATTGTAATTCCCAGAGATCTCCAAGTCCCGCCTGGCTGCTGGCAACACTATTAAATGTGGACGCCTGAGCTATCGTTTTCTACCTTGTCAGTGCCTTATTTTCTGCCTCCTTTCTCACCTGAGTTGCAAAACGTTTCTTTCTTTTACAGTTATTATGTCATCTTTATTTCTTTGATGGCATGACCCCCCCCCTTTCCTGTGGTCTGTTGCCTGTCTTATAACACTGCCAGTTCCCTACTCTGATTCAGAAAGCTGTCTGCTTTTCCATATAGACCTCCTTCATCTCACAAAGCCTACAACCTGTCAGGAACGGTTACGTGATCTCCTCCCTGCCCCATTTATAACCCTGTCAAACCAACTGTCATTTCTCCCTACATTCTAATCTTTGCCCAAAACTCCCCCCCCCACTATTATTATTCTTTATTCCTCTGTGCTCCTTCATGTTTCTCTTCTCCGTTCCCAAGACTTTCAACATTTATTCCTTTGAGCACAGTCAGATATGGAAATACATTCCATTCTACATGTACAGAAAACATTGTTTTCCTTTTCTAAAAAAAGAACTGCAATGTAGTCAAGTTAAAGTTCTGAATGTTAGTTGGACTCACATGGACTGTTGCTCCTGCAACAGTCAAAGGGGGACGATTGTTTTGCTCACATTCTGTTCAGTTCCACTCCCCCACATTTCCAGTCTTCCACTCGCGGCCAAACAAGGCATGCTCTGGGAGCTCCATGTTTTCAAAGTTACCAGGGGTCATTTCCTGCAGGAGTGCACAGGAGCGGAGCTCCGGCAGTCAAGAGCCCAGGGGGCGGGCACATGCAACAAGCCCTGCCCCCTGCTCCCAGCAGCCCCAGGCCACAAGGAGCAAGAAGCAGCCAGGTAAGCTGCAGAGGCCCCCCAGTCCAAAACAGTCCAGTGGCACCTTTAAGACCAAGTTTTGTTCAGGTACAAGCTCTCCCTCCTCTGTGAGGGCAGATCGGCACATCCCCCCCCAATAGTTAGCAATCCAAAACAGTCCAGTGGAGCCTGAGCGGTGGGTGTTGCCTTCCGACACACTTCCAGTGATGTCAGGGGGTGTGGCATATGCAAACAAGTTATGCTAACGAGTTATGCTAATGAGCTCCTGCACCTCTTTTTCTATGAAATGACCCCTGGTGAGTTCTCATGCAACACCTCATTGGATGCAGGTCTGGTTTAGCTCTCTGTGTAACCTCCTTTTCCTCCGCCCGCAATTCCTCACCTTGTGCCTGCACACTCCCCTCCATTGCTGTTGGCCCTCCTCAGAACCTTCTAACTGCACACGCTCAGTCTGATTTTGCTGCACAGAGCAAAGGACCCCTTTCCTTTCAAGATGTTCCTGCAAACCTCTGCAGCCCACCACCAGCAGGGAGCCACGCGGCGTTAAGTATCTCGGCATAAGGGACACCCGCTTTACTAATACAGGGAATTATTTCATATATTGTTGTCATGTCTGCGCATGGCCCACTGAAGAATAACACAGGCTATAAACAGAGGTCTCGGTTCTAAGACGTTTGCAGTATATTTCAGCAGTGTGGGGGGGAGCAATTAGCAGAGGGAAGGAATAAAGACAGAGGCAAGAGTAATAACGGGTATCAGTGCCCTGATGTCAGTTCACACTAGGGTTGCCAACACTCCAGGTGGGGCCCGGAGTTCTGCCAGAGTCACAACTGCTCTCCAGACTACAGAGATCAGCTCCTCTGTAGAAAATGGCTGCTTTGGAGTGTGGGATTTGTGGGTATCATACCCTGATGATGCCCCTGCCCTCCCCAAATCCTACCCCCAGCCTCCACCACCCCCCAATCATCATAAGTTTCCCAACCTTGAGTTGGCAATCCCACTTCACATGTTTGTCCTCCACACAGTACGTGCAGCACAAATGTCCCGTGTAGAGAAGTCAAGTAATAAAATACATGTGTGAACACGGATGTCAGTCACAGTCCAGAAGAGGCTAAAGATGCATGAATATACTGTTAAGTACGAGACTCAACACAGCTCATGAACAGTGAATCAGCTTTACTAACGAAGTCAGAAGAAATCAGAACAAGACAAAAACATAGAGCAACAGGCTCCCTTTTAAACAGTCCGGGCTTAGGTAGCCACACCCACAAGTCAGCAAACAACCATTAACTATTTATAGATAAGGTCCAATCAGAGTGCTTCCCTCCTGAACCTTGCGCAGCTCTGATTGGTCTATTTACAATCCTTGTTCAGACTCAAGCTTAACATAGTTTTCAATACACAACATACACATTTAGGGGGGAGGCCGATA